CCGGAGGTATGAACAGCCCACATGGCTGAAGGGATGGCCTGGAAAGAAATCCTGTCCCTTGCCACAACATGAAGGGACTTCAGTGACAAAGCAAAATAGAACACACACCGTATCGCCGCACATTGATGAGGTTGCGACAGTTATCAAAGTCACAAAAACAGAAAGAAGAAGGCTGGGAGAGGGGCGGGTGCTGCTGCGTAGCTGGCTAAGAAGCAGTAGAAGACGGCCCAAGTCCTGGGGCTCCTGCACCCATGTGGGAGACCTCCGGAAGAAGCTCCTGGCTCCTGGCTGTGGATCGGCGCAGCTCAGGCCGTTGCAGCCAGTTGGGGAGTGAACCAGCGGATGGAAGACCTGCGGCTTCCTGCGGAGGCAAACCCAGGGAGGCAGCAGCGGTGGCTCAAGTAACAGACCTGGATCGTGTTCCTGGCTCTGGGTTCTGGCCCTGGATGGGACTCTTGGCAGGTGTTTGGAAAAGGAACCAGCAGATGGAAGATTTCTCGCGTGCGCTCTCGCTCTCCCACCTTTCAAACAAATCAATCTTAGGACAGCAGGAGCTGCATCGATTTAAACAAAGGTGACCACGGAGGGAAGGAATAAGGACAAAGAAGAAACCAGGAGCAAAGTCAGATGTGTGGATTTAGACAGAAGGGACTTGGACCACACGCTCAGGGGCTCTGAGGGGTGACGGGGAAGCAGGGACACCCTGCGATGGTGCCAGCCCCCGTTGCTCTCCCTTGTCTTAGCCCAATGCATCCCTGCTGTTAAACACCCCTAAATTACTCCACCAAATTCTCCTTCTGTGTCCTGCCTGACACACACACACACAAGGGAACTTCCAAAATGTCACAAAAGTGGAATTAAAAGATGTTTATTTTGATGCAAAAAAAGATGTTGAAATTCATGCATTTTTTTTCATCATATGCATTTTCCATGAATTTGCTGAAAATCCTTTTATATGCCTAGATTTCAAGATATATTTGTACCAAAATAAACGTACATTTTTTTAAACTATATTTATTTATTTATTTGAAAGGCAGAGTTACAGAGAGAGAGGGAGAGACAGAAACAGAGATCTTCAATCCGCCAATGCTGATTCACTCCCCAAATGGCCACAACGGCCAGGGCTGGGCCAGGCTGAAGCCAGGAGCCAGGAGCTTCTTCTGAGTCTCCCACGTGGAGAGCAGGTGCATAAACACTCCAGCCATCCTCTGTTGCTTTCCCAGGCGCATTAGCAGGGAGCTGGATCGGAAGTGGAGCAGCCAGGACTCGAACTGGTGCCCATGTGGGATGCTGGCGCTGCAGGCCATGGCTTTACCCACTATGCCACAGCGCCAGCCCCTAAACATACTTTTGAACTCTGTTTCCCACCAACTTTCTGAAGCATCTGTGCAAAAGCAACAAACGAGTGACATGTTCATGTGCAGCTTCTTTGGGACTTTAAGAGACCCCAGCGCCACCCGACCAGCAGACCCAGCATCCATCTCACTGTCAGCACTAAAAAAGTCTCGCCTCTATCGTATTCGAAATCAAAACGTCGATATTTTCTTGCCTGCCCAGGCCATGGTTTTACATCCGGGGTGATGTCCACGCTGCCCTAAGGCCCTGCCTACAGCGGCAGGGTGGAGCCCGGGCCTGGCCTAGTTCTGCCTCTTGTCAGCTGGGTGCCCTGGGGCTGGGTGGCTCACAGCTTCCTGGGCAATGAGGACCAAGTGGGAGGAGGGACGAGGGGAGACAGTGTTGTCCACTGTCCGGACGCCCTGGGCAGCCTGGAAGGACCCGCCACCCGGGGCCATTGCCTTCCAGAGTGGATGGGGTCAGCGAGCGCGGGTCGCCCAGGCCTCCCCCAGCTCAGCTCTGCGCTCCCGGCCTCCAGCTGGCTTGCAACAGAGGGGCTCCTTGTGGGGAGCCCGCAGCCCCTTCTCTGGGCTTCTACACCCTCCCTTCCCCGGGCCGCCCCATCTGGGCTGTGCAGCCCTGACCCGCTGCGCAGCCTCGCCGCGTCCAGCGACAGCTGTCGCCCACCCGGGATGAATGAAAGGACAGGCAGGGCGGGGCGGGGCGCGGCCGCCGCCGAGGGGCGGGGCCGCCGCTGGGGGCGGGGCCGCGCTGGTTCAAAGAGCCGTCAAAGTACATATAGAGATGACTCCTGAAATCAACCATTGCAGAAGTGATGTGCTTTTTTTTTTTTTATTTGTTTATATTTTTATCTTCTATACCTAATATTGAGACAAAAAAATGTGAATCCCAATGCGGTCACAGAGTCAAATTCACACACGATGAGAATATCTATATCAATAAAATAAGGAAATGATTGAATCGTATTATACACATAGTGCTCACATCACGGATTGTATAACAAGACATATAGATATTTTGTATAATTGTGCTATATCTTATAGTATCAATCATCTTGAGTAGAATTTAGGTACGATACTATTATTACTAATTCGTCGGTAATTACTCAGTATAGCTTCTAGACTAGTTGATACATAGCAGTCAACCAACTACCCATCCTTGATTATGCATGTACTACTTCTTGTAGCAGCG